GTAGAACTGAAAATAAATTGGATCATCAAGATAATTACATAGAGAATACTCAAAAATTAAGATAATGCAGCAATTAATTATAACAAGCTATCAGCTTGAGCGTCTAATATAATTATTTAGATGGTTCAGCATAATTATTTCTAGATCAATATAAGGTATGAACAACGATTTTGTTAATGTATCTAAAAATTTAGATAGCTTACAGACCTGAAAATAATTTTGTTAAATTATCAAAATAATAATTACGTAGGAACCTTAAGCATAATGAACAATGCCTTAAAAAGTTTAGCACTCTATCAGTTTAAAAGTTCTACATCTACATGATTACCTATATATTTTGACACAGTTCAACAAAATTATTTTTAGATCTAGATAAATTTTTAGTTATTTCAATAAAAGTATTTCGTATCTGCATGGCCTAATTTTTATATACATACTTCAGCAAACTATTATTTCATGTGCATTTTCCGGACAACAATTTCTCCCCCCGTTCCTCGTAGTCACTTTCCCGTCGCGTCGTGCTGTTCCAAGCCGAAAATAACTCCGTGCGATTGAAAATAACCCTCCCCCGCGATTACACGACATTCGCCGTACAGGCGAGGCGCGGAAAAAAAATCCACGTTCCATCGTAACATTCAACCGGCTCAACGTAAACGCGGCTCTAGGAAATGGCTGCGTCCGATGATGCGCCATCAAAAGTAGGTTTCCGTGGGATCTCGAGCGTGAACCAGCTGTAGTAGGTGCCCGAGGTGAATTGATTAAAATCGAACGCGCGGCGGCGCAGCGCACGCTAACAAAGGAGAATTGCGGGCACGGAAAGGGTGAAGAGAATGTGGGTGGACGTGTAGATGGAGCGTAGAATGGGGAATGGGCAAACAGAGCGCAATTAACGTGCAACCATTAAATATGTACGCGCGCGTTGCTACAGCGCGCGCGACGCATGTGCGCAGGTCGGGCTTGCAAATACATTGGGGTATATCGGGCACCCTCTTCCGTCCCTTTCACTCTATGTGCGTTGCAAGCGAGCGAGCGAGCGAGTGAGCGAAGCGAGTCGCGGCGTCTCTTCCCGTGGCCTGTTGGCACAGCCGCTTGATTAGCTCCGCCATATTTACATGTCATTAGCCGATTGTTTGTCCAAGTCGGTAACTCCACCGCTCCCCCCTGCCCCTCGCGTCGCCGCAGTTCATTCATTTTTTCCAGCGGGAACTCATCCACGATTCAACGGAAACACCGCACCGCGAGCGCGCTTTGAAAATCCGCGATTGCGAAAAGCGAACGCGTTGAGCGTGACGCAAAATCTCGGCGTGATCTATACGCGAGATAATTCGTTAAATACTGAGAGAGAGAGAGAGAGAGAGAGAGAGAGAGAGAGAGAAACGGTAACATTACGTAATACAAAAGGCTGTAGCCTTTACCAAAAATATTAGGCATGTTTTATTTATTTGTCATTCATTTTTATTATATGTTTTGTTCAACTTTGGAATTCTCTGTTTTTTATCTACATAATTACTTATTGATTACCGGTATTATACACGGTTTAAAGGATTCTTAAAATAAAGGATAATTTACAGCAAATGTATTAAACTGCAACTTTTAAGAGTTAAGACCTTAAATAATAATTAATAAACTATCTGAAAATATTTTTGGCCAAGGCTGTATTATAACTTCCTGCTTGACAATATAAATGTAGAGATATATATAAATATATATATATATATATAAAATGAGGTAACTTTTTGACCCAAATTAAAAAAATACCTTTTTAAGTCGTTTTGAAGATGTGTTATGTCCCAATTTTGTTATGTGTACTATCAGAAAATTACCCGCAAATTGGATTAAAGTTATCCCACTTTAAAGCAATACATGTGTTATAGAGTTACATTTCTGGTTATGCCGAATTTAATTTAATTTAAGTTCGTTGTTTGAAAATTACATTTATATGAAATATTTACACATTTTTTATGTTAAATTTACATAAATCTTTTCTCGAAGACAATACAAACAATATAAAATATGTAAATTATTATAAACTGAATAATACAAAAAAGAAATAATCAAGTTGTATGATTGTTAATACATCTTTAATGATGAATAAAAATATATAAAACGATCGAGATAGAAACTTTAGTTCAATCTGATGTAACGACAAAGACATCATTATAATGTAATGACAAAGAACAATACTTCGATGATTCATAGATCGTTTACATAGATGCACGTAAAACATAGTTTATATAGCTTACATCGTATACACGTAGATGTAAATATTTTACGTGTGAACAACAACCTTAGTTACATTGGGCGCATTGAGCATTGGATAATTTTTACTTGATAACACAAATCGACACAAAGACAAACATCGTTTTGTCTTTATTATTTATAAAATACAAAAAAAGATAGAATGACGTTTGCATCGACTTGTGTCATTGGCTACATTTAGCAGAGAAAATCAATCAATTAGCGTTTAATCATATTAATCACTAAACGCTAATTTATTTCTCAGTTTTCTCTACTAAATGTAGCCATTAAGTAGAAAGTATTATTAAAAAATTTATGTAATGTTACTCTATTACGTTATATTTATTAGCGAGGAAAGTTCCTCGCGTTTATAGTGGAACCAGTACGGGGTAGGTCGAGGATCACGGCAAACTAAACATATCCACATTGTTATTTAAATTGTCTTTTATTTCATAAAAAATACGAATTTATCGATTTCAATATCTCGTTGCCTACGCTGCATATAACAATTCTTTTTCTCCATTTTTTCTTTTTTTTTTCTCTTATACATTAAGTGTACAAAAAAACGATGGGCAAGCCGACGGGTTAACGCCCGACGAATACTAACGTTAACATAAAATAAATAGACGAATAAATCGGTTCGCTGAACTCAATATCGAAGAAAAAAAAAATACTAGCATCGTCGATGTTTCTCGCAAAAGTAATATTTTTTAAATCCATCTTCCTTGCATACAGGATGCTACCCAGACAGCACGCATGTTTAAAAGATATCTTTATATGACACCTTTTATGCCGGTATTCTTATTTTAAGATCTTAAATCTTAAGATACTAATGCAACTCTATACTTAAGATAATCTTAAATATAAGAACCCCGACGATGAATACTGGCCTTATTCGTTTTTATATATTAATATCTAAAAGATATTTCATTCTAAACAATCGTCTTTGTAGCTAATGTTGGCTGGGTGCAAGAGATCACAGTTATGCTCTTTATCCAGACGGAAAACAATTATAAACAAATTAAAATCAACATAACGTCAAATACCGTCGAAGTTCGCATCGACAAAACATCATTTAACTGTTTACGAATACACTCATACATACATACATACATACACATACACACTTATACACATAAATTCTCTTCTTCTCTTCACAAACTACCATCGGCAAGAATACAACTTTCGTGAGAAATAGGACGATCGGTTTTATCGCTAGTCGTTTTATGGAACTTATAGACGATGGCTCTTAATATCTAAATGCTTTCGATTATGGTAACGAGAATTTGATTAATTACTATACTGTGATTGTTCTCATTCTCCGATCACCGTCAATTGCAGACGCATCCGTCATTCGTATTTTTTCACCGAGGCGTGTAATCAGTGATAGCTGTTTTCTTTTTCATAAAGTACCACTTTACATTACTATTAAGGCAGTATGGTAATGTGACTTGATTTACGTAATAGTTAGGCTTCCTCCCGTGCCTTTCTTTCTCGAGATGTAATCGCGCGATGTTTCGCGGATATGTGCTTTATCTAGCCGGGAATGTACTCCTTCGGAGATCGTAATGCACAAACGGATGAAGGATTCTCTCAAAAGTGAGGGATACAGAAATTAAACTATTTCCGAGAGAATCGACTTGGAAAATTCGCTTGATTGAACCCGGCCTAGATTCATTATGCATTCTATAAATCACTTAATTTCTATTCGTATCTATAAAAAAAAACCGTATTATTTTCTTCTATTATTCAACTTGCTCGCAAAGATCAACAACTTAGGCAAGACAAAACTGTCTAACCGAAAGAAATTGTCTTAATGTCGTCCAATGTGTACAAATATAACATGATACAAATAAAACTAGTGATTTCCTTTTCTAATTACTCCACTATTTCAGACACACCCTTTTAAGCATACATACAAGGTAAATAAATTCTGTTACGAAAAGAGTACCTCATAATAACGCGTTTTTCTCTTTGCGTTTCAATATTCAATATGAGAAAAAATCAACTTTATGAAAAAAAACCACGTCTATACTCTAATTCTGTAACTCTTAACAATGATGATATCGTTATTGCATAGATATTATATATGATAAAAGTAACTGCACAACGGCAATATATATCGAACTGTTATTAAAAGTTACAGAATAAGATATTAGTATCAAACTATTCTCTATTATATTTCGATCGTATGATACCATCGAACAAGTTCCAAAACGATTCAAAAAGGAAAAATAATTAATATAGTTATAGCAATAACATCTTCATCCTACGCGTCATAGGCCGCGACACATAGGGAAGTGCGATCGCTGTTCCGCATAAAAATGTCCAGGATGTCGCTGAATTATCATTATAATATCTAGGGTACAACGCGATCGTATACTGATATAATTGCTATGATTCGACAATCGACCTACGCGTCGCTTTCTTCTGCAAAAAAAAAAAAAAAACTGCGAACGCGTCGTCGAGAGATCGCAAGTTTCCGAGCACAATTAGAAGTAACGATGAGCACAGTGTTAAGGCTCATGTTTTTTCCTTACAATATTAATTTATCTTTATTATTTCTCGTATCGCCAACATTCACAATAGTATAAATTAATAATATTTATATTTTTTTAATCCAGAGGTTAATAAGTCACGATCTCAATTGTTGAAAATAATTAATTTTTGCTGGAAATGTAAAATATGCAGATTACATATGTTTAATGTAGAACAAAAAAGAGTTCTTAGAATATATGTATGCCAATTTGCATTATCGAAGTGAGTGGCGATCGACGAAGGAATTAATTCTTACTTCTTATAGTGCGAGAAAAAATTTCAAATAGTTTCTCGCTGTTGAATCGTGCTCAGAATTCAACATAGAACCAGAAGCCTTAACGTCAATATAATTATCCTAACTATGTCTAACCAGTGGCGGTGTCATTCTCACTCTCCGTTGCCGACTCATCGTCGACTTGCTCCTCGTCCTTTTCCCCCGCAGAAACAAAGCCCATCTTAACTAGAATGTTAAAATCGTCTGAGAGATCATTCACGTTCATTGCTTGCTCTGGGGTGTCGCTGTGGCCACTGCTGCTGTTGCTGCTGCTACTATGGCTGCTGCTGCTGCTGCTCCTCCTACTACTGCTGCTGCTGCTGTTGCTATTACTTCTACTTCTCAACTGCCTACCACTGGATAAGTCTTGTCTCTCGGTGTCAGCCTTATCGTCAGGAACTGAGACCTCATTACAAAGCTCCGAAAGATTACTTTGTGCAATGCGCAGTTTCGCTATTGTTGGTCGATCATCTTCGCGTTCCGACGAATGTCGTACAGTTACCGATGATCGTGGGTTATTAATGCGAACGAGCTCGTAGCCGGCATAATCATTAGATTGCGTCAAGGCTGCGTCCGAAAGACGACGGACGGGTACCTTGTGCGCGATGATATCGTCACAGGCGTTTTCTGAGTCAGCGGCTAGCCAAGGAACGGGAATAATCAAACGATCCTCGTCTAAGACTTCGCATGACGTCAACAATGAAGCTCCAACAACGGCACCATTGTTATCATACTGTTCGTCGCATGGACTGTCCTCTCGGGCAATCTCGTCGTCGTCGTCGTCGTCGTTATCGTCATCGTCGTCATCGTCGTCGTCGTCATTATTACCGACTTCATCCTTGTGTGCTAGCTTTGTTCTAAATGGCGCTGATATATGCGCTTCTTCCAATTTCACGTGTTCGAAGAACCGTGTGAGAGCACGCCGCTGGAGCTGGACTGTTCCTGGCTTGCTGTCTGGTTGCTCGTGCAGCTCCAGTTCATGACCTTCGCGGCAGAGCTGCTGTCGCAGGAGCGGACAGTCTCGGTCGTTTGGGCTTCGTGACTCATGTGCACGATTGGTGATGGTATGGGACTTATTATGGCCTGGGAACAGTGAGTGGATGAAATTTCTTGATCGGTACTTCTCACGACCGAGATTCGTCGTTGCTGTTGTTTTCTCCGCTGATCCAGTTGATCTTGGCCGTTGCTGCTCGGTGACACTATTCTCGGTGTCGCCGTAAGAAGACAATAGGACTTCTGTGGCTGATCTGGCTGATTGATTAACACAGAGTTTGCCATGTGTGAGTTTGGCCCAGGGCTTCCTGCCATTAAGGGTTGCTCGGTCCAGCTGATGGTCGTTTGAGATGGAGTGAAGAGAATTTGACAATTTTGATACGGTGACATGGAGTGGGACTGAACGATTGGTTTGTTTTTTATTGTTGTCACGATCGTAGAACAGGGAATGGGTGACGACGGGTTGGAGCACAGCGCTCTGAATGGTAGTGCTGCAACTGGTCGGCAATTGGTAGTTGAAAACTGCGGAGTGATTTTGGTCTTCGGTTTTACCGCCAGGAGACTGATTGGACCTTCCAGTTGACTCGGCGATTTTCTTGACGATGAGGTATTGATGCTTTTCTGGCTGGATGGTATTGGGCAATTGGTAGGAGTGAGACACCTGGTCTTCTTGGACGTAGGCGATGCTTGGTCGTGAGTGATGACTGATGATGTGATGGTTACGATGTGCGGTGTCTTGTATTCGGTATTCAGTATCAAAGAACTTGCTGTCTTCTGATTGGTTGTTGACGTTTGTGGCGGAGATATTATTTGTGGTGATTGGGATGAGGAAGGTTGAGGCAGGCAGCTGGCTGACGTTGAAGACGGTGGGGAGGACGTGTTTGTTCTGAGTTGCATCAACTTTATAAAGTCCACCAGACGCTTTATAGATTTCTGAGTCTTCTCTTGCTTGCCCAATAAGTCGTGATGCATCTGCTGTTGTAGCTGTTACAAAAAAGACAAATATTTTTAATATTTTACCGAGAAAGGAGCTTCAAACGTAACGTAAACTTTTGTTACTAACAATGAAATGTATATGCAAATATCTTCTTCAATTTTATCATTAAATATATATGTTATAAATGACAAATTATAATGAAAAAAAGTTGTCTAACACGTGGTCTTTATTAAGAAGTAAATGTAATTTCGTAAAATCAATAATATTGTTATTTATCATTACTTTTTAGTTTTGTAAAATTTTGAACTTTAAAAAGAATTAAAGCAATACAGAAATATCTTGAAAAATAAGACGCCATTAAAAATGCAAGTACGTATCTCTGTGAAATATTTAGCCTTTTCCAACTCTGATATTCAATGATTAATTCAATCATTATCAACGTGAGAACTAAACACAAGATACGTATATTATGAAATTACTCGAGATGGATACCGCGCTCGCGCGATCGGAATTATTCAGTTATTCTTAAATTGTCATTAGGCACATTCAGCGAACTCAACAGTTGTGAGCGCTCGCTGTTATTGGTGTATTCTTCTAGATCTAAAATTCTGATTGGATGATCTAAATGAATATACCAATAACAGCGAGCGCTCATTCAACAGTTGAGTCCGCTGAACGCGCCCATTGTTTTAAAAAAAAAAATTTATTCTGAGTACCCCCCCTCTCTTTCTCTTTCATGAAATAAATTGCAATCAGAATTCGTTCTGACTTGTTTCATGATAGATACCCTGATCGGAATCTATTCCGAATTGTTCCATAATAAGAGCCCATAAGAGTTTGTTTCCGGAAAGGAAAAAAAATTCTAATTCATTAAACTATTATTGACACTTTTGTAAGTTAATTATCGATTAACTTAATCAAAAGTTGATAAAAGAGATCTTTATGTCCGTTTTTATAGATTAATTTCAATCTTGGTTCAATTAAACTTGCTTTTTATCTTTTTCTAAAAATAAGAAAAGGATAAAGAGTTAAATCAAAATTAAAGTTAATCTATATTGATAAAAATGGACATTGCACATATATTGCAATAATATTTCACATTTTTTTATGTTATTTAATATTTACTTAAAACTCAAAATTTAACTTGAAGAAAATGGTTTCAAATTGTTTTTAATAAATAAGTTCTTTTAATCTGCCTACAAAAATAAATTATATAAAAATTGAAGATAGGCACTTGCATATTTCTATCAAAAAATGGAAAGTAAAAATGGCTGCGTTCAACAGAGAAAGCAGCTTTGCAACTGTTGTAAAATTCTTTAATATGATGTAATAAGCCAATCATATTCAAGAATTTTACAACAGTTGCAAAGCTATTTTTTCTGCTGAACGCAACCATTGGCTTACTAATTATAGTAACTTTTATCGTATGTTTAATATATGAAAAGCAACTATAATTTACTTGCCAAAAATTTTCGCTATAAAAAAGAAAGAGCTAAATAATAGAAATGTTTAATGTCATGCATTTCTTAAATCTACATGGTGCGTTTTTTCGTCTATGTCGCATGTGTGTGAATTAGTGAATTACTAGAAAGATGTGTTACATAGAAATAGCTAATCCAACATAGGAATAGCTAATAATATATTTCTAGTCACATGCGATCTAATTTGAAAAAAAACATGAGTTTACAAAAAATCATGTAAAAAAACTCGATTTGTAAAGATTAATTCATACGATGCAATAAAGTTTAAATGCACTTCTAAATTCTCCATATAAAAGATAATATTTTTCTTTATGTCAATATTGATAGCACGTTGCAATTCATTAATTCATGTCCATACATATAATTGGCTCTTTTTTCTCATGTGAATTTTTTTGGCAAATAATGAAATATGTAAACATCTAGAAAACGGCTATATTATCATTAAATAAAAAATAATACAAAAATATTGCACATGCATACGACATATCGCTCTTAGGATACTATTTCATTTATCATACGAAAAATTTTTCAAACATGTTTATTAGCTGTAGACTAAAAAATTCCTATAGTTTCGAGAAATTGTTCTAGTACCCTAAAAGCATATATTATAATAAAAATTTCGAAATTTGATATTTTATATACATGTGATATTCAAATGTGTGATCTTTGAATAAAATATTTCTGCATAATCGGTAAACAAATCTAAATACTACGCATAAGATTATTCCTATCTATTATCAATAATATTAAAACAAAGTAGAAATTATATTTGAACACAATCAGGCGCTTTATATTTTTATCAATGCGCAGTGAGCAAATATATCATCACATCTAGATCATTAAAGCGTAAAGAAATGTATGATTAAAGAAATAAAGTTGCCTCATATTTCATGAAAAGAACAACCAATAAAATAAAATATCCAAGTCGATTTCTAATCAAATTAATAAATCTAAGAGTATATTATAAATTAGTAAAATATTAATTTTGTGTGTATATATATATATATATATAGATACACAAAATATATATATATACACACACACATACACACACACACACACACACACACACACACATATTGTACAATAAACATAAGAGATCATTTTTCATATTTACAGAAATATTTTGGACAACAGAATCGACTTGCCCCCGCATTACATAAACGGAAAAAAATATAACAAAAAAACGCAGAGATCTTGCAGGTTCTTTTGGATGAAAAAACAAAAGGACGAAAATCACAATTTACAATATTCGATCAACTTAAGGGCATTCCAAATAAAAATGAACTTTATAATTTGTCTCTATACAGGCCACAGGACGAACCTGGAGTGACTGGCCGAGTAGTTGTGAGCGTTTTTCCAACTCGTAAACCTGCAATCTCAGATCCGAGTTTCGCTCGAGCAGCTCATATCTTTCTGTCTCTTTTTCCTCTGCAAGATATTTTGCGTTCAATATATAGGTTGTTATTTTTTTTTGCCCTATCGTGGACGATCGACCAAAAAGTTCTTCTTAATTGCAAATTCTTCGGCCGTAATCGAGAAGCCGGTCTCACACGCGGACACTTCTTCCGGCAGGTTGCCTCTCTCGTTTATTCAGTGCGTGCGTGCTTACGCTCAATTAAGTCTGCGACAACGCTGCGATACCTCGTTGTATGTTAAATCTAGAAGTTATGGACTCATGTTATACAAATTCCTGTGTTTATTTAAAATAATGTGCTTTGTGCCAATTTACCGGTCCTTCATGATTTTATCTCGACCAATATCATTTCTTGCCGTTACTTTACAATTTATTAATTGAAAAGTAGCAAAAAAGTTACCGGTTTTCCTTTATAATCAGGAAATCAATAATTCTCGACACTGCCGCAAAATGAGATAAGCCTACCGCGAATTTTTCACAACTAAAGTTGTAGGAATAAGAACTTTTTTGTCAATCACACGCTTAGTGCTATTAAAGGAGGATTTCTTCTTTAAAGAAATCGAGGACGATTTACCGAATTTTTCGTCCTTTTTGTAGTGAAATCTGTTCTCGCCTTCCATTTGTGTGTCCTCTTCTTCATCCTTTTCAATGTCTTCTTCCTCCTCTATTGCTGAAATACATTTCGGACAGGTTCTAGATGGAGGCGCTGGTCGGGTATGACACGAAACATGATAATTACTTGAGCAATTCTTGCATGTCGTTAATGAACCTGCAAATTGACAAAATCATGCATTAGATATATATGCATGTATGTATTTTCATAACTTTTTAATAAAATTGTAAGGAAATTAACAATATTTCTAACATTTATCATATTTTCTAACATCGTATTTTTACTGACCTGGATTTTCACAACAGATACACACTATAGAGTCACTCCCAATCCTTTCAATGGTCAAGCTAGACGGTAATCCGGGTATGTGAACAGTCTTGCTACCTACCGACTGAACAGATTTGGCACTAGATACAGATAATCGCATTTGGTTGTCTTCTATTTTGCTTTTATTCACGAAAACTTTGCTCTCCGCGTTTCTGAGGATATTTGGCCTGGTAGTAGACTTTTGAATCGGGACTAACGGCTTTGTTACCGCTTGCGTCGGTGGTGAGGTAGATTTGATTGGCTGAGTTTTGTTAGGTGGTGATGATGGGCCGTTCATACGTGCAGTCGTCTGCCGAGTATGAGGTGGATTTCCAGCTAAATAGGAATACCTCCTCCGTTTCTATATAAAATACATACGTCAAAATATCAATCGTTAAATAAAAGTAGACAATATGATGTCAAATTGTAGAAAAGAAACCCATTCAAAGCATATTAAATTTACTTTTTAAATACGTATAGTTTAATTTATCTTTGCGTGTTAAGTTTCTTGCAAAAATTATGCTAATTAGGTTATTGCTCCAATCGAGAACATAGATTTCACGTATTTTTTAAAATAAAAAAACTTTTTTTACGTTTTATACATATATACATACATATATATTATATTGCAAAAAATGCATTATTATATTGAACTTAATCGAACTTAGTCAAACATAGGAGGCCAATAATTTTTTTTCTTTAATATAACCGTTCATAGTAAATGTCAATCATGATGGAATCAGAATCCACCATGATGTCAATATTGATTTTAATCGACCATATGACAGCTAATGTTACATTAGTCAATATTGATGATATATATACACACACATTGGCTATGTCGTCTGAAGCAGTCTTAAGAGCGATTAATTAATTGTCAACGAGTTTTAGATTTAAATCTTTCCGAACCTTGTCCTATGTGTGCCTCAATTTTATAAGTTAATTGGAGCATTATATAGAAGATATATAAAATTAAATGCTTTCATTTTGAAAATTCATATTTTACGTACAAAAATATATATATAAATAAAAGCATTGACATATATTACTTACGGATGGTTGTTCGAACATAGAGTACACAAAATGCGGATTCGCCGTGCTACGACGTTTTCTTTCCACTCTTCTATTTTGTAGTTCAATAAATTTGGATTTGGTAATAAGTCCAAGGCAATTCAGGTAGTGGCACTTCTCGGGCGAATGTGTAAGTTCAATATGTTCCTTTATTTGCACTTCCTTCTTTTGCATCTCCTTCTTTGGCACTTCCTTCTTTTGCATGTCCCCTTTTTGCATTTCCTCCTTTTGTACCTCCATCCTTTGCATTTCCTCCTTTTGTACCTCCTTCCTTTGCATTTCCTCTTTTTGCACCTCCTCCTTTTGTATCTCTTCCTTTTGCACCTCTTTCTTTTGCAGTTCCTCCTCTTGCATCTCCTTTTTTTGCGTTTCCTTCATTTGCACTTCTTCCTTTTGAACCTCCTTCTTTTGCACTTCCTTCTTTTGTATCTCCTCCTTTTGCACATTCTCCTGTTTATTGTCAGAATTTTCATTCAATGGCACCTCAACGATGTCGTCCTCGCCGGAAACAGTTTCCACCGAGCTGGAACGTAATCTGTAAAAAAAACTTTCAATTAAAAAAATTCTAAAATCTTTGTTGCATATGGTTCAACAATGGATTTTCATATAAAATAACTTTGCATAATTCTAAACAAATTTCAATCTATTATAATTAATACTGTTTTACACTTCAATATTATATCTCGTTTTTCATTGTTCTCTTTAATAATTTTATATCTGATAAAAATTTTTTCAGATTTTTTAATCAAATTAAACACATCAGAAATACTGATAAAATCTGTATCTTAAAATATGTCACATATGTAAATTCTGAAATATTCTAAGATTTCTATAACTTTTGAAAAAACATCTTAAACTTTTTTAGATTTTATAAGATTTCACACATATCAGAAATTATAAAATTAAACATTTTTTGTGAAACAATCTGTAAAAAAACAATCTGTGTAAAACAATTTACGCTAAATACGATGTATACATATATAAATAGCATTCATGCATTTAGCCTAGACACTCCACGCGAATGGGACTTCTTAATCAATTTACTATTTCTTTAAGACACATCAGCTTACTTCGCACAATCGTTATCTCGTGAGTGCGAATGATGAACATTGCCATTTCTGACAATTTCTTCATAGTTGTCCTTCGATTTCGTTCCAAAACCATTGGTGGTCGCTTCATGCTTCGTTTCATTATTGTTCGTAATGTGATTGTTGTTGTTCAGTCCGAGGAGAAATGGTATAGAAACTTTCGATTCGTTCGCGTTGTCTGCCTTGAACGCATCCACCTCTTTGCGCAGCCGCTGCACGGTCTGCTTCTGTTATAACAAGCAGAGAGATATAAACACACATAGCACATCATAATGTTACTTAATATCGGTGATTTCTAAAAGAGATTCTTAGAAATAGTTTGTACAAGCGACGAACCAGGCATATTAACTTTAGCACGTTTTAGCAAAGCGTAATGTGCAAACATTCGAATAATTACACTTTTATAAAAAAAAATACAAACATATATCTAACAAATAAACGTAAATGTTGCGAAAAAATAGAATGTTAACACATATGTAGTATACGATTAACATTGTGAAACAAGGACGTATATATATCTACATTCAAAAGTTAACTTTTGCAAAGCTCCAGAAAGTTTTCGCCACTTTTAAAGTAAACGAGAAACGAATAACGTTGGAAAAAAAATGTTTTGGAGAATACATAAATAAGTAAGAAAGCGAGGGGGCCGTAAACGGATGAAAAAGGACGTGGAGATTTTGTAAAGAGCCGAAAACGTTTTCGCAGGACATTTTATTGATTTTGAACTGCTCCGTCTCTCTGCTCTCCCGGGCTTCTCTCCTGTGCTCGCATAGTCGCTCTTGCTTCTTCTTTCTGGATTGTCTCCCTCTCTCGTCCGTTCAACCCCTTACCCCGCAGTCGCATCACGCTTTCCTATTCGCGCAGCCTCTGTGTATCATCTCCATGTCTATCCCCTGTCCATTACATCCCGACTATTTATCTCGCTTGTTATCAATACCGTTGAAGGCACAAGAAAACGTTAGATTAGAAAAGATCATAGCTACGTGTACAAGAGCGATAAACATTACTATCTCGCTCACTTAATCTTGGAATAATAAAGTTACTAAATTTTATTCACGTTCTCCTTTTCCATTAGAACTTTGTAACTCCCCGAAACAAAACCCATGTAATACATGATCGATACATTTAACCGTTTTATCGTCAGTACCACGCAAGTGATATTGCGGCATGATAAACTCGTACTTTGCAAAAGTTAAGCAAGACATGCCAAAGTTTTTTGTAGCAGCTCACCCTGCGGATCAATAATAACCCTCGATCGATAATGCAACTTATACAAAACTATAATTTTTCTAAGATTTTTTTAATAGTTAATACATAGGAAAATGACAACATCTAAAAAATATATCGCAATTGAAATATTTTAATTAATAAATAAATATTCATAATTTTTTCTTCCAAGCTATATTCCAATTAATCAATATGTATTCAATTATATGTCGTTTTTTTACTTCAAAAGTATCACAATTCTAAAAAAAATGTGATTTTTTAGTTACTATTACCATAAATGAGTTAAAAATTAGGTAAAGATTACTCTATCAATCATGATGAATACACTAACTTAACTTTATAGTCCATCAGTCAAATAGCTCTTGTATGTAGTTCTTAAAGTTTTCAAAGACATCATAATACCTTTTATAAAAATGACGTATTCTGAATAGTGTTTTTGTAAATAAAAAGGAGTTTTCTACAGAAAACATTTAGAGTTAGGACAGTTTTAGTGATTGAAGTTTGAAGAAACAATTGTTTTATTTTAAATTTATTTATTTTAGCTGAATGAGATAAATATTAATAGTTAACAGTTGTGATGTTCCGAATTATATTATTATTGATGAAATATTCCGGATTTGATTTTACACCATATGGAAATAAACATAACTCAAGAAAAAGGATTTAAGAGTTGTAAAATGAAAATGATAAATATGACGTTTGATCATGTTTCTAAAAGTATTGTATATTCTTTTTGCTACTATTATTTAATTAATCAATTATTTTTTATTAAGTCGAAAAAATTTCCCTTCTTAGAAAAACTTAATTTTTTTAGTTGTGTTACTTTTTGAAGTAAAGAACATTGTATTCTTGAAGATCACAGCTTCTAACAAAGTAACTTGTAAAAAATTTTGTTTTCTAAAAATTTTCGAGGTCACTGAATTCGATTTTGGTTAGAGAATCCAAAATTTAAACAAAAAATAATCTGATTATCATGAAACTTTGATTTTACGTTCTTAATATCACTGTGTTTAAACGTAGCCAAAAAATATCGAATTTCAAAGGATAGTAACCTCTACGAGAGAGAATCATAGGGTTCATAATCAGAGTTTGAAAGCCAATTTGGAAATTAGTACTAATTAGTTTATGTAACACAAATAAAGCGAAATTAGAATCTTGATTTTTTATTTCGTAATGAAAAACTCCTTAAAATCCCAAGTATTATGTGTTAATTAAATTATTTTCTTTCAGATTCTGTCTTCCATATTGAATCCGCTATTTTTTTATTTTTGACCTCAATTCGAATAAAGTATTATCCAATTACTTCATAAGTTAAGTTTCATAAAAATTGAGCGAATAGTTTATAAAATAAAGAAGGGAGACTAAAACAAGGTTGTTGATTTACAAAGGGTTAAAATTATGTCACGAGTTTTAAAAATTCGAACTGTACAATTCTAAATTTTTAATTTGTGTCACTTTGTAAATAAAAATATATATTTGAAGAAAAGGAATTATTAGTCTTTAAAACACAATCATTCTTAATCATTACAAATGCATTTAAGTTTGGACGCATTTTCATGTTCAAAATCGTATAATCGACCGATTGAGAGATTGATTACGTAATTGTAGAGTCTCATAATAGGAACTTGAGAAAAGTCAACATATAGATGTATCATGAATCACTATGTGCATGCAATATGAAAGAAAATCAATTGTCTGCGCTTACCTGGCATCTTCCCAGAGAGACGATGGTCACCTGAATCCTTTCTATCTCTTCCAAAATATCTGAGTTCTGTAACAAGACATCGTAATCATATATCAAGTCCAAATACATTCGAAGAACGCAATCATCGGAATTTGGGCGAGTTGCGTGTATTGATGCTTAGTGAAAATTGCGCGGAATAATTGTGTGTATATGTATATATATATATATTGATACGTTTATTGGGTATTATTATCGATAATAAAAACAAGCAAATAGAAACTTCAATCACAGAAAATTGATTTAAAATCAGCAGTAAGAGGTTACTCGATACAATGAAGTTACATGTCAAAGATTTTTTTGTAAGCAATCACTAAAATAACTGAATTGAGTTTTAAACATGTATAATAAAAAAGTTCCCCATAATATATATAAACAACTCCCGTATTAATTACCGCAAGACGAAATGTCTAGCCAAAGTTATATGCGGCGTAACTTATGAGATTCCAGAAGTATGGCACACAGACTATCGTAAAGTTTCATTGTATCGACTGTTCTCTGAATCTCAAATTCCATCATAATTAGGAATAAATCGTATCAAACAGTAAATCCGGAACTCAAATTACACTTTTACAAGTTTACACTAAATTACTAAAACATTAATTTGGACCACACTAGGTTTCTTGTAGATTTTTGAATGCTGAAAATAATGTCGTAAACCAAAAAATTCCAGCATATTAGGTTTCCAAGATAATTAAAACTTAATGGCACTTTTATATTTGACATTTTTTTCACTATCTTAAAATTTTAATTAGAAGTCATGAATGTATTGCTAATTCTCTATATCTATAAAATGCATTTTTCTAATTTCAATATTTTACTTTTTTAACTATGAAGAATTTAAATACAAGTTTTTATAAGAGGTTTTTCTAAAATGGTCTGTTTCTATTTCTGCACTAGACTGCATTAGAAGTCTCTTTCTCGCTTTCAACAAATATCAAACATAACTATTTCACTTTAAGTTCCAAAAGTGTACACTAGTTTAGTCACAAAAAACAAATTTTTAGATAGCAAATTTTCTGTCTATGACGATGAAGTTGTATAGAACTTCTAGTTTGTGGCTATCAACATACACAGACCATACAACTTTTTAAACAATTTTTAACAATTTGTAACAATTTTTTTTATGTGTGAATAAAGACGTATTATTTTTTTATCTTGCTTGTTTAAAAAAAAATGGGCCTATTATCTATACAAATTGTATTTTACTCATACGAGTTTACTATTCAATTGTGTAAAATATATTTTTTTAAAGCAATTTTTTTCGAGAAATTTGAGATGGGCAATTAAAATGTGTACTGAAAGACAAGATTAACTGCTGTAGCAAATTATAATAGATGGTAAAATATAGCATAGCATTTTTAATTGGCTGCAGCAGCCAATTTTTGGTTGTGTTAGCCTATCTATGAAATTTTATATTGGATATTGCGGATAGGCTAATGCAACCAAAAATTGGTTGTTGCAATCAATTAAAAATACTATGCCATATTTAACCAACCTTTTTTTTTCAGTGTGTGCATATATATGTACATATATAACGGAATAATAAACGATAAATTAAAATGTATATCGAGATAAAAACAAACTAGAAATTATAAATATGTGTGTGTGTGTGTGTGTGACTTTAAAATTCAAATAAGTTAATAATAAAAGGCTATTCGAACTGAGCCGGATGTCATTCGCTAATGAAACAATAATATCAATATAATATCATTGCTTTTTATGCAAATGTTTAAATTTTTAATTTTATGTAAATATGTATATTGAAGAATATTATTATATATATAATTTTGTCATCTGTATGTGATTATGACAAACACGTATACGAAAATATAATTACAATTTGTGTATAATAATTAAAAAGCAATGCTCGATATTTGTAATTTAAATTAAATGTACGTATTGTATGTTTTCCACTGAAGAGATGACCATACTAAAGGTTGAAACGCTTGAAAATATTTTATGTCGTTGACATTATTGTTTTATTAGCGAATAACATCCGATAACCTCTTATCGTTGATTTATTCGAATTTTATATTTATTAGGATTTTGTATTAGCTATATTACTATTAATTTATATACTTTTTTTATCGTCATATAGGCAGAACTTTCCCTCCCCCTCCACCTCTCTCTCTCTTTCTCTCTCCCTTTTTTTCTCATTAAATCTAAATTATTTCACAAACCTAATTTTCGACATCCAAAAATCTATAAGAAATACTTTATTTGACAATAAATCAAAATAATTAAAAAAAAAAACATTTTTTTTAAACTAATGATATTTAACATGGTCTTACATGTTTCATAAAATGAAATGTTTAACACTAGAAATACTAATATTTTTTTTACTAATAAGAAGACTAATTTATTACTATAGATTAAATTATTACAAAAATAAAGCGCGATAAAAACCAAATACTTTATCAATATAAAAGACATAATTATTGAAAAGTCAAAGAATTTCAAAATTCTTTTTATACGAAAAATGTAATATTAACCTAAAAAAATAAAAACAGGATCTTAGATAACAAAATTGATGTTATTTGTCATCATTTTGATGCGAAGATGACATTAAAGATGTCATTTTAACGTTAAAATTACAGTAATTAGCTACTTCTGGAACCATTTAGCACTTTAGTATTAATGTATTTTAAAAAATAAAATAAAAACAAAAAATTTTCATACTTTAAAAGGATTATGTAAAATATTATCATATAATTAATGTAATTAGATAACAATGTATTGCCGTGTAATGATATCATATGAATAATGTAACGATATGATTACTTACATTTGGGTCATCCTTCAACTTTTCCACGCATATCTGTAATATAACAAAAAAAATTGCATCAGTTATATAGCTAAGAAAAATATTATATGTTGTAGTTTTTTATTATGTAGGGTATAATGCAGAATCGAGAGGGAGATAAATAATTTAGCAGAAGTATGCCAATGTATACGGCCAACTGGAACACGATGCGCCATTACGCCATTATGTTCTCCCTCTCTTTTTTACCTCGTTAATACCCCTATTAATTAATAAAGATGCAAATTAGAATCTCATATTTAACATCTCGTTAACTCGTCGCGACTCGCATTTAACTTCCTTTGTCGTTTCGGGAAGCGATCGTTGCGATTTAAGCACTCTAAGTACCAATACATATATATTAGCTATTCTTATTATATAATATTATATATAATAATATATTCTGATTATATAATTCTGAATTATATAATTCTGAATTATATATCATATTCACAATTAATTTTCCTCGTATTTCCAGAAAGTAGTCCTTATTGTATGAATATTCAGAATTGACATTCGTTGAACATTATTTTTAAAAGTATATAAGAATACACGTTTATGTACTTTTTATCACATATTATACAATCACATAGCTAAGAACAATACAGTCTGAGACACAATTGAAAAACATAGGCAATAGGAACAGAGAATAATAAATTCTAACCTATCTCAGAAATAGTGTTTAACAGAATATACGATGGATTTGAAATCTGTTATTTCGTATTCCTATTGCCCGTGCTTTTAATTGTGTCTTAGACTTAACTGTATTGTTCTTATTGTTAATTATATATGATTATAGTTGTATTATGTTATAAAAACAGGATATATCATAATATACATTTGCGTATATACTATGTAAACGATATTTTACGTGAAATCTATGTAAAAAACCTATGAATCATCGAAACTTATGTTTTTTATCATTACACTAGATTGCACTAAAGCTTCGATCTTGCTCTCATACATATTTTTATTTATCAACAAGTCACTGAAGTCAGATATATTAACAATCATAAAACTTAATTACTTCTTTCTGTATTGTGTTATCCAATTTATATTGTAATAGTTTATATTTTATCTACATAAAAAAATTCGTATAAATTTAACGTAAATAATACGTAAAAATTTCATGTATAAACGTAATCTTGAAATATATGACACAACTCACTGCATTCTTATACATATTGTCTATGCTTTTGAATTATGTTTATATATATATATTTTTTATATACATATTATTCTATTTATATCGATATTAAATGAAGAGCTAGTGATTATTATTCTTTCATGGAAAATAATTGTAAATTCCTATAAGCGGTTTTGTTTTAATCTTAATAATTGTAAATTGTAACAGTAATTTCATGGAGAATAAAAGAATTTTGCTTACATTAAGAAAAATGGTTAAAAATGAACAAATTAAAAAATTCTGATTTATTCATTTTCAATCAGAATTTCAATTAATCAAATCTGACATTTTTTTCAGTGCATCAGTGTAACTTTTCTTCCGGCGCGCAGAAAAACAATTCTTTCTTTTTACAAGACTCGATTATCGACAAGTAGTTTGTCGATTCCGCGAGGCACAGAAACTTGGCGAAATTCGTCTTGCTACGACACGAACAAAAGTCACAGATAACTGAGAGAACGACCTTGTCAACGTTCTCGCGGTAAAAGTATATCAAGCATGGACTCGACTCGGGAAGCTTCTCGACGCAAGTATCGACTTGCACCTGTCGTCCCCACTATACGATATACGCGAACTTCGGTTACATAAATCGCATTCGGTGAAATAACGACTATTGTCTCCTATCGATGCGTCCCATTATGTATAACGATTTTATCCTCTTTACAGAATCTCTCTCTCTACACACATAGAAAAAAATATTACTCTCTTACTGCCAAGAAAAACTGAAAAGTTACTCAGTTTCCCGTTATTCTTTTAAGTAACAGTTATTATTATAACAAAGAATATTTCCTTGATAGTTTTCAAACGTAACTACTTATTACAAATTGTAGGAAAATATTATCATGTACTCACACATAAAAATTTTACAATATTTTTCAAAAGAAAATTAATTCTTGTTTTCTTTTAAAAAAATATAAAATTTTATCGAAGAGGCAATTTATGCTCGTTTCTATCACAATAGTTTAATTTTAATCTGGGCTAACTAACACTTCAATTTTTTCTAGTTCTAACAATAATAATTAGATAAAGATGAAGAGGATAAATTAAACCGAGATATAAAGTTAATTTACATTGGTAGAAACAGGTATGTAATAAGCAGACTAGATTTGTTTTAATTCAATAATCTTAATTAAACTTACTAAGATTCAGAATATATTTTGAATAAATTTGATGAACTTTTAATATATTTATGGAGATATATAAACTTTTGAAATACTTGGAACAAGTAAATATTTAAATATAGCACACCTTTTTCTGAATGCAGGATGTACAGAAAAAGTTTAAATTATTGTAAACTCGGGAATATGTAGTTATTTAATTTTTTAAACAACCTGAAATAAAGATTTTTACACCCCAATTAAAAATTATATGTTATTGCATAAAAATTGCATTTTATATTGATTGATTGTTTACTATTTATTAGTATTATTTCAGATCATTGTGTGTATATTTACTCAACATTTTCTAAAAAACAACAAGATATTAAAAAACAAGTATATGAATTTTCGATCAGTAAGTTAGAAAGTTACTGTGACTAATCTTTGTTTTCTTGCTGCTGAGGTGTAAAATCACCCTCGTAACTATTCCTGGGTTAAGCTGAGGAAAACCGACGTGAAAGTTTGTCGAACGTGCGGCTGCGTCGCGCGCCGCCGCGCTGACAGAGAGATCCTTCTCAGTGGAAAAACGACGAGAGGAGCGTGGCCGGATAATTCACAACGTATCGATTGTCCGCTACGAAGCGTCCCCTCGCAAATCAAACACACTGCGCCCAATTTCGGTTCTCGATAATATCGGAGAGCGATATTAAATTATTATCAGGAAATCCTTGCCAATTCTTGCCAAACCAAGAAGCAAAACTTTGTGCCGATAATGCCGCATCGATCGAGACTTGCACTTATGGCCATGAGCGATCGAGAGAGTGAGCGAGAGCGAGTCACCTTCGCGCCGGGCGATCCCTGGCGAATGCTTCGCAGCTCGCGATGTGGCAGTACAAAGGTATCCACAAAGATATCGATATATTTATAAAGATGGTAGGAGCACGCAGAGATGTTCGGGGAAGACCATCCCGCTGACTCTCATCTTCCATGCGAACCTAGGTAATAATATCACGAGGACAGAACACAGAAGTCACAATGATATCATAAGAATGTTATCATGATCTTATCTATTACTTATAAGAGGCTTGTTTCTTTTTAGTTGAAGCTCCTTTTTGCAAGATTCATCTTTCCTCCTTTACTTTTAACCCCATGTTAGGAAAAAAAAAAGGGAAAAGAGACAGATCGTGTAAGAAATTCAGCTAAAAAGAGTAAGATTAATAGAATTGAGATAAAATTAAATTAAAATGGTAGACACGAGCCTAAAAGACATTATAAAAACATCATAAAGATGTCCTTTGAGACATAAATATCTAAAAGATATTTATAAAAACATCTTCTAAACATTGTCTGGAAGATTATTCCAGCAACACTGTAATACTCCAGCAAAATTGCAAACATTGCAACAGTGTTGCAACAAATTTATATGCTGTAGGGGTTTTGCTCAACTTCTCGCATAGTTCATCCTTTCTCTTTTTTTTTTCCCCAATGTAGTGAACTATGCAAGAAGTTCAAAGGGTAAACAAAAACAGGCTTATGAAGTCATGATGATGTCCTATAAGTAAAAAACCGCAGCAAAAACTTTTGCCTAACTCATAACGCATAATGCATAAGAGAATCAACCAATCGGATTCCTTCTTTTTCTTCCTTTTCACGGAAAAGAAGAACTTTAATTGATTATTTAATTTCTCTGATGCAGTATGCATTGTGTTGTGCAAAAGTCTGTAGGTCTGTTCTTTATTTCTGTACTACCTGAACTGGTGCACACGGTACAATAAATTAAAGTGAGACAAATATACGTTTGTTTCGCTTAAACTTACTGCACAGTTCAGACATTGCAGGAATAAAGAACAGATCTTGTGTTGCGACCTTAAAATGAGATCATTTAGATAGGTAAATAGAAATTTTGAAATTGTATAAAAGACTGACGTCGTATATAACGTATTTAATTGAACGTAACAAAATTATTGATGCAAGTGTATACATTTTGTACGTTTGATTGAATATACTATTAAAATTACCCCGCGCTTTACTAAATCGTTACTATTATTACAACTACTCTATCTGGAAAACTGATCAACAAGTTCTCGGTGGCAAGTTCGTTAGAGTTTATATCACGCCGATTCGATATCTCCATTCGCGAAAACTTCATCCCGCAACAAATTTCTCGGCCACTTCCAACAAGCGAATGAAGCGCGTAACGCACGGGAAGGAGGAGGGGGAGGGGGAGGAGAGAAACAGATAGGAAGAAGATAAGAGAAAGGGAAGAGGAGCGCCCGGGACGCCGAGCGAAAGAGAAGCTCGACACGCTCGGCCATAAATGGAACTTTCGACTTTCGCAGTTTACCCTCGGTTTCCTCCTCGCCCTTCGCAAACTTCCTTCCGATCCAAATCCCTTCACGTGCGTGCGTGCGTGCGTGCGCGCGCGCGTGCGCGGTCAAGTTAGCAGCGAAAGATACTTGGCGGATCTATCGAGTTCGAGTTGTCCCGAATCGATCGATCGATCAATCCATCGTATCGACTCGGAGGGAACTTCACGACTCGAGTCAAGAAGAGAGGAGGGGCGCTCTCGCGTGTATCCCTCATCACGCGCGCGGGGGAAAAAAATAAAAACCTCCCCGGCGATCTTCAAGGATATATATGCGTATGTCGCGCGGAGGAGGCCTCTTTCTTTCTCTCCTCTCAATCCCCGCGACGACCCGTCCATGCCTCGATCATATACTATATCGCGCATACAGCATCGCAATCTCTTTAGGTCTATCCGCGTTTCTTTTGCACTCTTTACACTCAAAATCTCCGTTTTCTTTCTCTTCAACGTCCAAACATATATACATTTATTCTCGTTTAAAGTGAACAAATTTTGGGAATAATTTCAAGTAACGCGAATAGATTTTTTTCTCTTTCACACACACACACACACACACACTCTCTCTCTCTCTTCCTTCCTCTCAGTTTCTCTCTCCCTTTCTCACACGCTCTCGTTTTCTTTCTCTTACCTGATGCTCGAGTATTGCTTTCTGCAATTTCTGTTGCACGACGAGGATCTCCTCTTGCAGGCTCTTGGATATTTCCATGTTTTCTGGCAGGTGGTTCAGCACGTCAATTCTCCGTCCACGGTGACAACCCTGGCGGCGGCAACCCCGTTCCGTGTGTATTGTCCCCGACGCGTTGGGGGAGGCGGGAGCGTACGGGGAGGCGGGGCGAGTTGCGAACTAGCAAACGCTCCTCTCGAGAGTCGAAGCCGCGGGCTGTGCGAGTCACGACTCGGACGAACGACGACGACGACGACGCGCGAACGAGCGGCAACGGTGGCGGATCGCCGCGACGCGTTCTCAACGTAACGTAACGTCACCGTCACGTCTGTCACGTCTCGTCTCCGTCCGTCCGTCCGTTCGTCTGCTCCAAACTTCTCGTCCGTCGCCTCTCTCTCTCTCTCTCTACAAACTGCCGATGCGATGTTGCGCTTCGTCGTGAACACGCCACAAGAGCGTTGCGCGTCTCTTTCTCTTCCTTCTAGTTTCTTCTCTCGCTCTCCTCTCCCTCTTACTGCCGTCAACCTCCGTCGCTGTGACTCCCTCTTTCTTTTTAACCGAATGCGAATTTACCGAGCTGGCGCGGCGCAGCACAGCGCACGCACTTATTGTTAGTTACTTTACTTATGCACGATATATATATGTATATATATATATCACAATATATCTCGCCTCGAGATACTTTCCTTTTCGCACTTCCCTGATATCGCGGGCCTTTTACAAGGTCGACGTACCGAAGTCACGTACCAAAGAGTCCAATTCCAAACTCGTCGTCGGCAACAGCGACGCGAGCGTTTTACGCTACCACCAGCGCGCTGCGCTGGCTCTCGCTCGAGTGCGCACGGCCGCACCAAACCGAAGTTGATCGCACGCCGCCCTCCTTGCCCTGTTACCCCTGCACCCCTTCCTCCTACGTTCAGCACTTCGGGCCCCGGCGCCCTTCGCCGATGATTGCCGAATCAGCGGGGGAATCGACGAGCTTTCGCGCCAAGCGTACGAGATTTCACGCCTCTGCTCATTTTATGCCCGTTTCTATCAATGGAGATTAATTTTAATCACGATTCAACTCATTCTTATTATCTTCTTCCTTGTTGCAGGACTAGAGAAAGATGAAAAATCAACCGAATTAAAATTTCATTTAGTCTACATTAGAAACGGGCATTAACTGAACTTCTTATATCGTCCATCTTTATCTTTTGTCTTATTTCCAAGGTAAAGAGAAAAAAGGAGAGATGAACTATGCAAAAAGTTCGATTAAAAAAAAGAACAGATTTTCGGGCTTCAACGGAGACACGTCGTCTTCTTCTTTTGCTTTTCCTAAATCTGCTTTTGACTGCTGTTCCATGTAGCACTCCCTACACTCGAAACGAAAAGGTTGTGTATAATTATAGATGTCAAAGTGAGAAAGGAAAGTTCAAGAAGTACGAAGAAAGTTCTATTATACCTGAAAGGTATAAAACCTTCCCTTTGTTCCGCAATTTCATTCGTCCCTGTCCTTTTAAACTATTTGCGACGAACAATTCTCTAGATCAATCTAGATTTTTCTAGATCTGTTTCCCTAGGCAACATTATTGGCAACGCTGTATACGCTGGTAGCGCTGTTATTGGACGACATGCGTTTTTCAACACATGGCGAATTCATATACATGAGATGCAGGCGATCAATTAGGGTCGAATTGTACTTGAAATTAGAGACCCTCTAACAGAGACTGGCCACTTTTGATTGGTCCGCCATTTCCTAGCGATTCCCGCTCGTATTGAAATTTCAATTACTGCATTTACTTGGAATGTAAATAGTATGTAATGATAAATATTATAGAAATATTAAAACCGTGCTTTTTACATCAATATAAATAATATACGTCAAATAAAAAAAAACATGTCAAGTTTTATCGTCAGTTATATACATCTTTATCTTTAAATAACTTTGTTATAATAGCTGTTTTTTGACATTTATGATTTAATTTTTGACTTTGTTATTAAATTTTAAACATTGACTTTTATATTGTCTTCGTTCTTTTTGTTTATACGTTAAATAATTTCTATATTTAATATTCTCTCTTCCTTAATTCTATTAAATCTTTTACAAATAAAATTAAAGTAAGATTAGGAAATCAGTGACAAAAGTACAAACACTTAACATTTGTAAAATTTATTTAAAAAAGGTGTGTACTGCCAATGATTTACTGTCATATCTTCTATTAATATTAGTATTTTTCTTACTTAATGTTCTTAATTTGAATACGACAAACTTTCTAATAATTTTAGGAAACAATTGATAATTTAAAACATGTTTAGCCGTAACCTGACTAAAGACAGATATTAAATAATTTTTCCAAAATTGTGCAGTGCAGCCACTCATTTTTATTGTTATTATTTTGTACTGAGCAAAAACCACGAACACAACCTTGAATCAACTCAAATCAATTTGAATAAACGATCACATACGAACGCACATATTCGTGTGAGTGAAAGAGTGAAATGGCCTATATTTCTCTCTCACTTGTAGGATTTCGCTAGGAAATGCCGGACTCGCCTGATGGTCTCTGTTAGAGGGTCTCTATTTGAAATGAGATAAAAATTATAAATACAAGTTAGTAGAATATTTATAATGTCATTAGTCTCAACACCTGGATTTGCTTATTTTTGAAATTTTTACTTCATTTAAGATACACAATCGATTATACCTTGTTCTTTATATTCCAGCATTACAGATTTGCACTAAACTATTTTTGTCGTTTTCGTTAAATATCCATCTTATATTTATCTTACTATAAATTCCAAAATGTTTATCAGTTCAGTCACAACAGATCTATATAAATTTTACCAAAATTAGACCAATAATTACTTCTAGTTTTTATATTATAATTTATTTTATTTCTATTTATTTCTTTTAAATATATATTTTTAATATTATATATTTTAAACTATAGCTACTTTCTTTAATTTTAGGAGTCAATGCACATAAATATCACCCTATCTTCGTTATTCATGGAATGTCACAAGTATAGAGAACGATATTTATATTGATTAAGTCCCTTAAAAAGAAAGCAACTTATAATTAGTCAACATATCGGTTAAATTCATGTAAATAATAGGTGCTTTCCATATTTGATAACACAATAAGTGTCTTCCTATTTTTTATTACTCTCTGAATGTTAAGAAAAATAGAATGTTTGTTCGATTTGTGTCACTAAATGGAAAACACCTAAATCACTTTTCTTGCTTCCCCTCTTGCTATTTATTTGATCCACGGATGATTGACGGATTGCGATGATATTCAGATCACTCATAATTTGAATAAAATGCTTCTGCAGAAAGTAAATTCCAGTCGAAAAAGACGAACTAGATTTTGCATAAATTTTCCTCACAAGTGTAGACCACATCCTATCTATGTTCAATCGAGTTGTCTTCTATTGTCAGATTTTCGAATGAAAAAAAAACGTGAGGCAAGTGTTTCGGGAATTGGAACCAACGGAGAGCATTCCATCACTCCCATCCCTTTACGCGGGACCATCGCCATGCCAGCTGATCGCCATAACTTGAACAGATCGATCGAAGGAATCAAGTTGGCTTTCCGCGAACGACCGAAAGAACATGTTGAAACTTGAGATTCAGCAGAGTAAAGAGCGCAAGATTCGAAGTGGTCGCTGGCGCTTTTGACGCGGCTTTCAGACGTCACCGTTTGGTTGTGCCGGGTCTCGAATATCTCAGTGAATTCCTTTCTAGTATGCAGTAGCATCCGCCGATTATTCGCTGTTGACAGCCCGGATGAATTCGACATGCGAGGGAAGCCGTTTCTCTAAAGTTAATTCTTGGTACTGCCCGCTCTATCGTTCAAGTCGATTCATCGAAACCTGATCACCGATATCGTCACTGATGAGGCGATGACACGTCCACACGTGTACACAACATGTCTGCGCGGTGCGATTAGCATTGTTTCCCCTCACCCTCTCGGAGGACTCGGATGATCGCTGTCTTTTGTCATCTTTTGTGAGAATAGGAATATTTTGGAATTATTCGGTCAGAAGAAACATTTGATTTGTGCAATCATGTTGAAGGCTGTTATTTTAATCGGAGGACCTTTAAAAGGTTTGTGTTTACTTAATTATCATTTAATTATCAAGCAACTGTAAAATTGCTAGATTTGATAATAAAATTATATATACGTATCTAATTGTATATATAATTATATTTTCTACATTTATTTGAAAATTCTGTTGATATCTTACAAGTACATACATAATTTTGATCTTAGAGTATACAATATTATTATTTTGATCATTCCATCATTGTCAGTAGACTTTATATAAATTTATACATACATATATTTATTACATATATTTGGAATTGTTAAGACTTTAATGTAGAGACTATTCTTTCCAGCTAAACTTCTATGTTGGAGAAAAAAAGAGAAAAGAGAGATGAATGATTTAAGAAATTGAGCTAAAAAGCTTATAAATTCTTTGTATGTATATTTTAACTTTGTACTTTAACTTGTTGCACTTGTATTTTTATAGGAACTAGATTTAGACCTCTATCCTTGGACATCCCAAAACCACTGTTTCCAGTGGCTGGATTACCCATGATACAGCATCACATTGAAGCTTGTATCAAAGTACCTGGTCTCAATGAAGTGCTGATAATCGGGGCTTATCCTAAGAACGATCTGGCTCAGTTTATACAGGAGATGTCGAGTACTTATGGCATAGTCATTCGATATCTACAGGAATTCACACCCCTTGGAACAGCAGGTGGCATGTATCACTTTCGCGATCAGATTCGGTCGGGCAGCCCTACATACTTTTTTGTTATGAATGGCGACGTCTGTGCCGACTTTCCTCTGCAAGAGATGGTGGAGTTTCACAGCAGCAAACAAGCACTGCTTACAATCATGGCAACAGAGGCAACTCGACAGCAATCGTTAAACTATGGATGTATGGTTTTGGGGAAGGAAGGAACGGTAGCGCATTACGTGGAGAAACCTTCAACGTTTGTGTCAACTCTTATCAACTGCGGAATATATCTCGCATCCCTAGAAATTTTTCAAACGATGGCAGATGTCTTTCATGCTAACCAGCAACAAGATCATATAATGTAAGTTTTTCATGGATTTGTTTCGAATATGGTAATGATAAATTCAACCATACTACAATGGATGACTGCTTCATATAAAATATTTAAACATACAAATATAATATAATAGAATATTTACTAAATGAGATGCTTTTTTGTTGACAAAATTTGTAACAAGCATTTGACAAAATTTGTTTTTGACAAACTAGGTTATTAATTTTACGTATAGTAGCTTTTAATATATATTGATCTAATTTAATGCAAGTGACCAAATTTGCTATAAAAGAATCAACATCCTTTTTTCATCATTTTGTTATGGGACTGCAGGCAATTGTGTTGCAATGGTAGAGATCCAGCGCATATTGCATTTGAGCAAGACATACTGACGCGTCTAGCAGGATCTGGCCGATTGTTCGCCCTGCCTATGTTCAGATGGTGGTCACAAGTGAAAACTGCAGGTTCCGCGATATACGCCAATCGACATTACTTGGCACTCTACAAGCAGAAGCAGCTGGACCGTCTTGCTTCTACGAATAAGAATTATTGTCACATTATAGGAGATGTGTACATTCATCCATCAGCTTCTGTACATCCGACTTCTGTGGTATGAGGGATAAGTTGTCCTGCTATGGTTTACAATGCAGTAAATACCAGCTAATAGTAACATAAGTAACGTCAGTGTTGTAATTTCACATTTAAATAATGTGATCTACAATGTGCTTTTTGCTTTCTATTACATACTTTTTAATATTTATTTTTTTTTTATTTTATTGACAATTGTGTTACTTGGCACATGTTTCTTTTTTCAAAATTCATCTTTTTATTTCAGGTGAGAAAAAATGAAAAAAATGTAAGGGGTAAAAAGCAGTCAAAATTAAGAAACTGAAAGCAAAGAACATATTATAAATTAGGCTTAACTATTATATTCTACATTGTAGTCGTTTTAATCTTAACAGGCAAATATTTCGAAAATATGTATTTTATCAAAACATACTCCTCCAACATTTTATTAAAAAAATATTCCAAATAAAAATTGTAAAAGGGAGACAATGGTGACATTCATCTTTATTCCATATAATTTTTATTTAGAATATTTGTTGATAAAATTGCATCTTTTTGAAATATTTGCCTATTAAGATTAAAATGAATCACTCGGTATTTATATTGTTGAATGTGAAAAGATAACATTAATGTTACGTTATTGCTGGCTGGTGATTTACTGAGAAACTTATTCTGGTGTCATGAAATTTCTGTTCTTTGCAGCTCGGTCCAAATGTGAGTATAGGACCAAATACGATGATAGAGCCTGGCGTGAGAATCAGAGAAGCGATCGTATTGGGCAAAGCACACATTCAGGCCCATTCCCTTATTCTACACAGTATCATAGGGACAGGCACCAGCGTGGGTGAATGGTCACGTGTTGAGGGGACTCCATGCGATCCCAATCCTAATAAACCATTTGCAAAAATGGAGAACTTGCCGCTGTTTAATGTCAACGGCAAACTGAACCCTTCCATCACGATACTCGGTAAAGAAATAAAATATATAGAAAACTGTGTTTCTATATAAAAATAATAAGAAATAAAATAAAATAAGAAATATTAAGAATTACCGCGGTAATTTGTAGGTAAATCTTTTAACGTATAATATAATTAATTACTACAGTTATTATATACGTTAAAAATTTACGCATAGATTATTGCGATTCCTAATAGCCGTTATTTTATTTTTTTCTTGTTCTCAAATACTGAAAACTTTAAAAATTTAGGACAGGACCGCTTACATGAATATATCAACTACGATTAATTACGGTCAAAGTTAGATGTTAGAATAATATTTTCGGAAGTCTTCATTTATATATTTTATTTTTACGCACATATGAGCAGTACGTGTAATTATATGTATGTATATCTTATTTCAGGTACCAGCGTGAGTTTGGCTGCGGAAAAAATTCTACTAAACTCGATCGTTCTACCGCATAAGGAACTTACAAGAAATTACAAGAATGAAATTATTCTTTAATTGTTTAATTGTTGCCAGAATTAAAACACCGCTAATGATTCAGATTTTAATGAAAGAGTCGCACAAATGAAAAACGCTAAATACATCTATATATTTTTTTCAGAGATTTTCTGTCAAATTGTGATTAAAAATTTTTTATAATTTTGTAATATAAAATATTATTACAAAATTTTTATATACATTGTATACAAGTATCATGTGGCAACTATAAGCTATGTACATAGGGCCAGTGGCAACGCACATTTTTACAATATACAGGTTGTACATATTTCATCTACATATCAAAAATTATTACTCCGTATTTTCGTAAGTACATGAATAAATCCTTTATCTGTATATTTCTTATTCTCTCTGTATATAATTCTTATTGAGAATTTTATATACACGTGTTTATGCCGCGGGACGTCGTGCGGGATCGAATGCGACGGAATGAAGTCCCCCGAGCCTCGCATCAGCGCTCTCGTGGTATCGAGGCGATCGGTACGCGGGAGGAAGAATAACCGGAAAAAAATCTGACGGGGAAGCCGCGGTACGGGCCGCCTAAGGTGAGGCTCGCTCTCGCGTTCCTCACCGGCGGCGCCAGGTGTTTACGGCGGTTGTATGTGAGTAAGAAAAAGAGAAAGAGAGGAGAGTCGAGAAGAGCGGTGTGTACGCGTGAGACAGCCGCATTGAATTGCACTGAATCAACAGGTAGATCGGTATGCGTGGGACGCCTTACGCGCGTTCTTCTTTCGCCGTGGCGCCGAGATTCGTCGTGGTCATCTGCGAAAGATGCAACGTGCAAATGAGCGCGAGACGCCACGACGACGAATCTTAGGAAGTTTTAGGGAACGACGACCGAGATCGGCAGCTGAATAGCAGCGACTACAAAGAAAAGGAGGAGGGAGCGGCGCTCCAGGTGGAAATGCGCGTTCTCTAAATGTGTGCTCCGCGGCGAAATTCCACGCATACCAAAGCTGCTGATCCAGCTTCCCCGCAAGCGGCGGTGCAGGCGGCGGCGACAGCGGCTGCGGCGGCGGCGGCAGCGTCCTCCGGATCGGGAGAGTGATTTTTGTGATCGCCGCTCTCGTCAATGACACGCGCGGAATGCGCTGTGCGAGCGCGCGATCCCACGCTGCGCGCTATACGCGCCGACATTGTTGCGCGTTCACCTCGTTGCGCCTGGCCTTTTAAAAATCCGTCCGTGTGCGTCCCGACGTCGTGAGTGTGGTGCGTTTTGAATGCGGGCGCAGGGCGAATCTTGCGACGTCGCGAGAGCGGACGTTCAGTTTGACCCCCCGGCGCATAACGGACAAATGAATCCTCTTGTGACATCGAACGTCGTGACTTGTTTATAGCCGTCTTAACACGAAATTCTTATTGGTAATTTTCGTTACTGACTTGTAAAACAATGCGTACATGTATATATTTTTCAGTTTTATATATTTAAATTATTTGGATTTATTAAGAATCAGAGGTGATTACTTATAAAATTATTGCTTATTAATCATTGACTATTTAAAAGTATATTAATTTTTAATTGTGTAAGAAAAGTATTTTATATGATTTAAATGGTATGAAAAGAGCAATTATAAGAGAGGAATATTACATTTAAGTTTGCAAAATTTAAAATAAGACACAATGCAAAAATAAAAGAATAATATAAACTTTTTTATCCTTAATTTGACTTTTATGATTGGAGCTAATATTTTTATCTTTAGAAAAAATCTTGTTAAAAAATAGGTACATACCTATGTTTTCTCTTTTTTTTATTTTTTAATTATTTTATAATTTAATAAAATATTTGAAACATTTCAATTTTTAGAAAAAAAAATTTTTTATTTATTTTATAGAAAGAGGAGAGTGGATTGAGATAAGTGAATTGTTAAATATTCCAAATGGGCAATAAAAGCCCATTATGGCCCAGTGTCATCAACCACAATATCAGCACGAATTTTTACCCCTGTGTGATGTACTATTTAACATTATTTCATTAGCATCCTACTTCTGCGATGTTGTTTTTGATTTTGCGATGGTATATGCCCTTGCCCATCAAGCAACAGCACCACCCATACTATTTCCATTAAGCATCACTTTTATAGCAACTTCTTTGTTGATTTCTCAGGTTTGTGTCTGACGAAATTTCTATATTGTTTCGCTATTCCATCATCATAATTATACAATATATGATTATTTTTGTAGATCGTTAGTTTACGATGGTATCTTTGGGGAGCTAGAGGTAAATTAACAAACGCACCAAACAATTGTCATGTAAATCCAGTGAAGAGAATTGGCAATTGGACTGTAGGCTGTGTTTTATTACTTCACTCCACCCAAGTCGGTATACTATGGAGATACTTCAAATTATTTATTCCAGTAAATTTAACTTTCGTAAAGCACGAGGTACGTAATAACTTTTTGAAAAAAAAGACCTTCCATCATCTCTTCATTATATAAGTTTTAATCATCTCAGGTACGGGAGCTCTGTGTATTACGACTGATACACGCATTCTGTGAAGCCGCTCCAATGTTACTTCTGCAGCTCTACGTCTTGTTCGGCGCTACCGATGGCGATGAGATAGAAGTCGGAAAATTGAACGAAAATGAGAGCAAGGATGGCGGTAAATTAAAGGAGCTGACACTAGTATCGGCGGGACTCTCTTTATGGAGTGTGTGCTGGGCGGTTGCCAGTTTTAGCAAGGGTGCCGCGCGTTTGCGTAATCTAGAACGTTTAGTGCTAACATGGTTGGGGGTGCTGGCGCAATTATTCTGGCGTTTGGGGACAGTTAGTGCTCGCGTCGGAGCATTGGTCGCGTACGCTTCATTGTACGGCGGACAGTGGCTGCTGATCGTGATGGCTCTTCACTGGTTATCCATGTTGACGTGGTTACTACTCACGCCGGATGGACTCTTCCACGGTGGCGAGCGTCTTCCGTTTCTTAGGAAGACTTTCCTCGCTTCTCTCCTTGCTTTTGTATATATATTTGCATATGTTAATCTACATGAGACGAATCATCGTCAAAAAATGGTTAGTAATGGGACTATTTACATTTGAATGACAATCTATTTATCTTGATACTATGTTTTTTATTCTTTCAGGTGATATTTTACACTGTAATGTTCTTAGAGAACAGTTTACTCATTGGCGTGTGGACAGCTGGTGTTAATCGTGCCGATCTTTTGTCTCACCGGCATCATCTACATCCAGTTACTCTAGTACTTCTTCTACTAGCTTTATTTTTTGGTGGCATGTTTTTCATGGGTCTTTATTATAGGTAAGAATATTTTTTTTTTTTTTTATTAATTAATATATATATATATATACACAGTAATATTAGATAATTAAATTCATATATAAAGGTGAAATGGAAGTTTATGTAGTAATTAGAATGTAAATTTCATTAAATAAATATAATTCGTAATAAATAATTAAAACATTAAACAAATACAAGAATTATAGAATTATCTGTCTATAATTCTATATGATCAAAATATTTATAGTTAAATTAATTTTTTCATTTTTCTTGCAGATTTTTTCATGTAAGAAGATTAAGGTATGAGGCTGGTGGGAGAATGACTGGTTCGAATCTCACTACACTATCGAATCAGGTATGATATAAGACAGATCTTTCCTTGGGGGAGGCATTGTTATCCAATTTTTTTTTAACTTTCAGGACAATACAGAAGAGAAACAAATAGACTATAATGAGGGAAAGAAAGTTAATATTAGCATTAGCATGAGAAAAGTTAAATTAAGTAACGGTGGTATACCGGGCGTGTTCAATTGCCGTTTTGCAAATCCAACAGCTGTTGTAAATCCAAATCGCAAGAAGAAGAAACCAACCAGCTTTGTACCGCCACCGCCACCGCAGAGCACGGTGATGAGTTCCACAGCGGTGATAGGTGACTCAAAACAGTGGCTGAACATGGGCAACGGATCGCGGCAATTGATTCCATTTTGGAAGAAGCCCATATCTTCTAATGTAGTACAGGTAGATATTGTGACAAATCTATGAAGGGAAATTAGAAAGTAAAATGAACTTATTTATTCCATTAACGTATATCATATTATTTATTAGCAAAAATGCATACAACATCTTTTCTCAATATAATCGCATAGTTTTGCTATACTTTTTGTGTAATGATTCATAAGTTTTCCATCTGTGAACAAAATTTTTGGCTGCCCCGAAAGATCTATGCATTGCTTCCTAAAGTCTAAGACAATTTATCACTGTTATTTTGGCCCATCAAGGCTTCTATTTGGCCGCTTGCAGGGATCATTTGTCCTTATTAATATTTGTAAATAAGATGATTGAAATGATTCCAAAAGTGTTGTAAATGTTAAATAGAATCTATAGCAGGACTTTCTTTAACAGACTAAATAAATGAAAATCGGAAGCAACGAAAGATTAGAATTATATGCTAAATATGAGAAAAAATTTCAAGTTTTAGAAGACCCACACACTTTCCGTAAAATAATCTTATAACGTATTGTAAGAGTTAACGAATCACAGTCAAGAATTTTCAGAAACTTTTAACTCTGATTGGTTAACTCTTATGGTATGATTACTGTTATGGAAAGTATGTACGGGTTTTATAGTGAATTCAGTATTTTACGTTACACTAGATTACGATTGCTACGTATATACGAAATTAAGTTAATGTAAAAACATATAAATATTTTAAATGAATAATGATATTATTACGATATTTAATAGAATATACATGTTATTTTATTACTGAAGTTGATTAAATTATGCCATATTATATACTTAGATTTTATATATACCATAAAGTTTAGGAAGCGTATGTAGCTTCTTGAATTTTGAGAACAGCCAAAACCTTATATGGAAAAAATGAGTATGTATATATTTTGCTAATTTGTACGTGAGGAATAAATAAATTTACATTTTGATTTTCTCCTGTATTTGCTAATTATTACAATAAAACTGCTATTACAATGTAATTAATTTTCCAATACAGCACGATGGTTCCAATGAGCGCAAAGATGAGACTGATATGGCGATCGGTGGCTCGTTGAATGTCACGTTAATACGCGAGAAACTGAAAGAGAAAAAGCAACAACAACTGCGAGAATTGCGAGCGATACAGGAGGAAATCAAGGAGGGTAAATTGTTTCCACCTCCTTCCGCTTCTACATCCTCTTTTTCGTCTTCTCCTTCCGCATCTAATCAGCAACCACCACCGATCACGAAATTGCATACCTCGCCAAGTTCTCCGTTATTCACGTCTCCGCCATCGTTTTCCGAACAAAACGGTGGTAATGCCTTATCGTCTTGGCCACCCGTCAAAATGCATTGCCTCTTACCTCCACCGCCTTCCTCTCCGTATTATCCTAACTCGCATCCTTCAAATCTGTGGAGAGCAGTGCCTCAACGAGAACGTGCGGACACGCCAGAGATATTATTAGCACCGCGATGCCTTCCGCATCATTATCCCCATTGGTCACCGCCTGGACATCTCAGTCACAGGTAATACAAATATAAATGATGTTCAAGCAACCAATTTGGAAAAATTAGTTGATTCAAATTCTATTTCATCAGATTGCATGCAAATAAAAACGGCGTTGAAGAAAGTTCTAAAGGTGAGGGCGATGGAGAAGCGGAAGTTAGCGACATGGAAGGTAGTCAAGTCTCGTTACCTAGGAGTTATACGTTACCTCGCGAATTCAAGTACAATCCTAACAGCACAGTGAGAGAACGAGAGCGTCGTGTAGGAAATAATAAAATATATTCTTCGCGCTTTTACCTTCCATCTACCAATAGCTCCGATGGTGAGTATGCTCTTAGTCTCTTTCTCTAAATTGCAGTTAATAATTGCTTACAACGTAGTGATTAATCATATATTTTGAGTATTAAAAGCACTATTGTGATCAAAATAAGTGATTAATTACTATTTTCTAGTATTAAGTTGGATTTCTGTATAAGATCTATATCGCATTGTAGAAATTAAAAAAAAAACTCAAGTTAATTTATTACGGATCACATTTTTAACAACATTGACATTTTTTTAGGCGATGTAGATAGTGCTGATAACGAGGATGAAACAGACTCGGAGGCACGAATGAAAGGTAATCATGTTCATAATTACGATGAAATCTTGCAGAGGCGTCACATGTACGAAAATAATGAAGAGGACGACGTCGCCGATCCTAATATAGAGTGCAGCGCGTCTAACATTACGTCTAACAATTGTTATTCGAACAATTTTCATGGTGTCCTACGACCGGGTCAATTACTCCGAACACGAGTGAAACACGAAACAAAACTGTAAGTCATAATACATAATCGCGACATCTTGTCATGCATGACACGTTGTGTTCAAAAAGATCTTTCAAAATTTATCTCTCTTTTTATTAATTGTTAACAGTATAAGACTGTTGACCTCGCAATATAATAGGTATAAGTATTTAATAGTATAATACATAATACATGCATATACACAAAGGAATACATTATATTTCTTTCGTGAATTAGCATGCATTACTTGAGATATAATCTAATAAAATCTAATTTAATCTTTTCGTCGCGTTTTGCATAATAACATTGTGCAAATGGGGAAATCGCGACAAATCGAGTACATAATAGAGTACATTTTAAGAAAGCAGAAATAATGGACAAATAGGAATACATGACTTTACATTATCAAAATTCGTGTACAACGGATATTTTATATAATGCATATAGTTACCTGAATAGAAATCATACACCTTTCATCCGTTAGTTATACAAGAATTATGTGCGTAATAATAAATTGATTTTAAAGAATGTAAGGTATTGTACTATTTAAAGAGACATATATATATATATATTATTATATTCTGTTATACATTTGTAAATATACAATCTTTGCGATAACATCTTGTACTCTTCTTTATATCTCTTCTACCTATGCTTCATTTTTTAAAACATTTATTAACAATTAAATGTGTAAAATAAAAAGATTAAAAGATGACACACGAGTTTAACGTTAATATTTTGAAAATAAAATTAAGTAAAATACGCTGTGTTAATTTCAAGTAAGTGCCTAATTACGTTTCTTGAACTGAACATATAGACCATCTGACGCATATGCGAATACGTGAATAGTATTATTGTCATGTTTCTTATTCACTTCGTAAGATATAGTATAGTTCGAAATGATCATAATTAATGCCACTTTTACAATTAATAAGGCAAATCTCTGTCCTGAAATTCAATATAAATTGCAATATAAATTTCCAGTAATATACACTTATTAAAAAATGGTAATGTCTTTCGAGTTATAGATGAATATTTTATAACTCACCTATACATGATCGAGGTCCAATACCGAATGCTAAGGATTCGTAAAACTTTTTTTTGTCCTTTGTTTCTGTTCTCGAAGGAATAAAATCTTGCGGATTGGAAAAATATTTTGAATCTTGATTTGTCGCATTTATAGAGACATACACCGGAACATTTTTTTCGATTATTAATCCAGTATTTGGCAACTAAAAATGATACATATGCGTATATGTAAAAAGAGCAGTAAAGACATTCGTATTAATGCTTAAAAGGTGCCTTTTTATGCTGACATTCTACACTCATGTTTAGCGTCAATACAAATCACGTCATAAAAATAGATGCATATATATTAAATATCAATTTTGATCACGTATCCTATAATATTTTGATGCTAAAAATGAACGTCGAGCGTCAGCATGAAAAGACATCTTAAGGGTAGATTCCTGAAATTATTTTAATTAAGAAAATTCTAATGTATCAAAAATCGAGATCCAGAATTTTAAATTGAGCAGTCACGATGCCTTAAAAAAGGAAAAACTGAACTTATTTTTTTTAAAGGCAATGTGCTCTCTCTCATGCACTTCTTATAAATGAATAAAAAGATATTGGGGGGGCACTGTAATAGATTTAGATTTGCAGAAGTATTCGCGAACATTGAATTGAATTTTTTTTCAATTAATTTTAATTGATTTTTGTTTACTGGATATATAAAGTTACTCATTGTCAGTCATTCACTTCGTAATCTCTTGTAGTTATTCTATCAGTGACGGGTAGAGGAGGATGTAGTCTCAGTGATTCAACTACAATAGAATCTAAGAAAGACAGTTCATTGATCAGATCCATGGTCAATTCTTTTCCTGATAACTGCGTCTGTATCTCATTGTATATAGTATCTTGATGCTCTGGATGACACCCCAACTCATACAGAGTAAAAGCTATCGTAGTCGCGGTAGCTTCGAATCCGGCAATATATAAACTGGAGGGCTGTGCCACTAAATTGTCTCCTTCGAATACTAAGACATAAATTATTAAACAATGGTATTAATATTAACAAATTTTTCGAATCTATTATTTTTTTCTGCTATAATTTATTATAAGTTCAACGCATACAGTAGAAATATATCGAAATTTATAATATTAGTGACAGAGTAGACCATATTAGTCCACATTATATAGATATAAATATTAACTACGTGATATTTGTTATTTTTCGGACTTTGTAGATAAAATACAATCTTTACTGTAAATGGGATTTTGTTCTCCATTTTTAAGCGCCAACATGGAATCTATCATGTCTCCTCTCTTAAATTCCAGTCTTTCTCTAGTGTTCATGGATTCCCAGAAAATGTTGCGAAGATAATTTGCAGGTCCTTTAATAAACGGCACGACTAAAAAGTCCCAATCAGGTAAAAAGAATTGGATAATGAATACAATTCCTCGCATAAAACCTCTGAAGATTGTCATACCTATAAATATATAATATCTTACGTAATTTATATAATAGGTATAATTATACATGTATGTATCTGATAAATGATCTAACACATCCTTTTATATATAATGAAGAATAAACAATTCCTGATTTTCAGCAGATTATATGTCCTGATGAAAAAAGTTCTCATAATATTCCATATTTTTAATATATAATAATATTTGTATAAGAATTTGTTATATTTTAAATCTAGAAAAATTTTTTATTTAACAAAATTATAGAATGAGAAATTTTTTATAGAAGGTTTCAGAATTTACATGTATGAAGAATTCTAGAAAAAATATAGACTTTCTCTACACTTCTAAAAAATGATTCTTATAATATACTTGAGAAATTTTTTAATAAATTATAAAATTATATAGAAATTGTAACATAAAAATTTTGAAAAATTATATGAAAGAAATTTAAGAAAAATGTTTATCAAGATAATATTATGCACAACAAAGCTGCATGTCTTATGGGTCCAATAAAATTAGTGCAAGATCTTACCGGCTTTTTTACAAAAAGCGATCTCCTTATCATCGAAAGAGTTTACGTTAACACCGAACATCAGAGAAGCCAAAACATCGTTACTGTAACGACTACCGATATCCTTCACCTCATATTCACTCCAGCCATCCTCGTTTATCGGTAAGTTCTCAAGGAAGTTCAACATGGGCTTTCCGCTCTTCACTATCAGCGGTATCATGTTTTTCAGTTTTTGTCCGGTTAAGACCGGGGTTAATTTGTTTCTCACGTATTTCCATCTGGGCTGATTCATAGACAAGATACTGTCCAGACCTATCGCGTCCCTCTGGCTGCCTGAACCAAATCGTCGATTCGGGAAGACGTCAAAATCCGTGGTCATCACCTGTTTGATCAAGTCGTGGTTCCGTAGTAGCAGTAGGGGTTTATGAAAGATATAAAAACCGATGTAAGGATCGTCCGGATCGGCACTATTGTAGATTTCATACATTTTCTCATTTGGTGGCTTCTTCAGGGTGATACATTCCTTGAAATTGCCGAAGAACAAATGCGTCGGAGGGCTTTTCACCCCACGTCTACTCCAATAAGACAACTTGTACTTGGCATATGCGTAGAAAAGGCTGAAAGATATTATCAGCGCGGATGTGAAATAAATCAGATAGTCCATCATCGACAAAATCTTATGGTATTGTTGTATTTGTTGGTATTTGTTAATTTATACGTTTCCTCCGATCGTCTCTCGCGTATATCTCAAGGTTTCGTCTGACATGTAAGAAGATTGCACATTTTTTATCACTTGAATAACTTGTGTAATGTGTAATATTGACAATTAAATATATAAAAATGGACACTTGATATCTTTATGGAATTTCGAGATAAGTTACTTAAAGTGTAGCCTGATTAGCTAAGTATCACAAAAGGTATAAATAACATGATAAGATTCTGTGTATACATAACATACATTTCTTTTTAATAAACACATTTTGAAATAGTAAAAGCACTGGAGAGTTTTAATAGATAATATTTCTCTCTTACTAATTGATTTAATTAATTTTTACTTATTATTAGTTGGTTTAAAAATAGTATAATTTTAACGTTTGAGCAATAATTTTTAATGAAATTATTATAATGCAACATTTTATTGTTTAAATGTTAATAAGGACAAATTATCAACGTAAAAATAAAGTTATCGCATACTTGTATAGTATAGTACTATAAATATGTGATAACTTTATTTTTGCATTGTATTGGTGACTTGTGTGCTTGTAAGATTTCATCTTTAATTAAATGTTCATTAATATAATTGATTAATTTTATCAGTACACTGAAGATGACCTTTTTAAAATCAAAACATATTTTATAAAACCAAAAATGTATCAACAAAATCATGCAAATCTACAATTGCTTATAATATTCTATAGTAACTTTGCCGTATTTATCTTCAACGATTTTGAATATACTGATGACATTGTAGCAACAGTAACAAAATGATGTATACAGGATGTCGCCACTCAAAAGAGAGAGACTCTAGCAAGATACATAATATTCGAAAAATTAATTTCTTAATAAAAAAGTTATTTATAAATTTTTTATTGATCTGTGGTCCAATTTATGCTCACAACTTTCATAATCGAGCATCATTTGTCTTTGTTATTTAAAATTTAACAAACAACAAGAATGCAATGATTTTTTAACGTTAATTGGTCCTATGGCACATCCAAAAACGTAAAATAGTGTAAGTGGCCAATCATATGGTCGTCAAGCCAATCGCATTTTTGCTATTTTTTTACGTTTTATCTTTATTTTGCTTCTTATCCTGTTTTTCATTTTTTGTCGCTCAAGATAAAAGTTAACCAACTTCGGAAGAAACAGGAAATATATAGATAATAAGTAAGAAATACAATTGTCAATAAAAAACGATCACAAAAAGGAAAAAAATAAGCAATGGGTAAAAGGCAAGAAACGGGAAATAAAGAACAATTGTAGAATAACCAAAAAAGTGATAAAAGGCAAGAAACAGAAAACAAAAACCACATTGTATATTATAATGGCAAGATAGCAGTAATAATTGTAATAATTGCCGAAATTCTGGTAGCAATACATATAGATAATACTTATTTGTGAGCAACATGTCATTTATGATTTGTATAGATTGTGTTCGAATATATACTGATCGTATTAAAAATCTATAGTTTAATTATTAATAACGTAAGCTTATCTTATTAACTTTTACTTATTATTTTTTATTACATATAATTTATAAAAAACTATTTTTTAAATAAATCATTTTGAATTGAATAACGCGTTTCTTATAGATTATTCAGACGTTGAAAACACAACATTACAATCAAATTTTACCAGTATATATTAAATTTGTAAAATAATGAGGTTTAATATGCAAAAATTTGTATTTTTTAACTGTCATGTTATATTATTTCATTTTATCTTTTGACTACGTGATTAAAGAAATTTTAATGTTTGACTCTTCATTTGTCTTTTTAGTTTCTATTTATATTTTAGAATAAGAGTCCTTTACTTATATATATATTTATTTATTATTGTATCTTTTTATTTGGTATTTTTTATGTAATAAAAATTGATATTATTTTGAAATTCTAATCAGAAGTCATAAATGTATGAATTGTTTATTCTCTATCAAATGTATTTTTTTTAATTTCAATATCTTGCTTTTTAGCATTATTTAAATATAAATTTCTTTAAGGTAATAAATTTTCCGCTTATAACGATAAAATATAATTGTGTAATGTAAAAGGACAAGTAAGAGTCAAATAAATAAACAGGAAACACTTTATCACATGTGATAATATATTTATAATTTCCAGTTTGTAGCTATCCATCAGTATATATACATATACAGATTATAAGGCTAATTCTACAATGTACTTTTTGTTTCCTATTTCTTGCTGTTTGTCTCTTGTCTTTCTGATTAAGAATTAGCCTAAAACTTTTATTTAAAACATTTTTTTAAAACACATTTCTTTTAAGTAATCAAAATGGATATTATATGTTAAAATAAGACATCCTTTGTGTGTGCATAGAATGTTCCACTTCATTTTAAACAGGTAATTTTCTTCAAAATTGTTAATAAAAAATGTTTCCGATAAAAGTGAATCAGATTTTGAGGACGACATATTTTGGTTACGTTCTTTTTTCTAGGCGTAAGAATCAGAAAAGGATACGGAGGTCATCTCTATTACATTTTTTAAAATAGAATTATATAATTTCTTTACACGATAAGATTCCTCTAATTATTCTACACATAAAGTATTAAAGAGATATTAAGAGAACAATACTTTACGAAATATTTTATATCTTCTTCTAATAAATTTTGACGTAATAAAATATAAAATATCCCATAAATTTTCAATATTAAGTGAAAATAAACTAAGAAATGTTTATTTAGTACAAATGATTGAAGAGAGTCATATTTAGGTAAAGCGAGTTATAGTGTTTAATAACATTTTTGTATAAATTTTTACAATTTTTAGTTTAAGCAAACTGTGTGCTGCATAGTTATTTACGGTCTTGAAACTCTGTCTCTCTCTCTCTCTCTCTCTCTCTCTCTCTCTCTCTCTCTCTCTCTCTCTCTCTCTCTCTCTGTCTTTCTTAGAACAAGCTGGAGCTGGAGTATATAATCTTTACCCTCAAAGTTCATAATAACACAAATTAAATTGACAGATGCTTATTAACATCAGTAATATTAAATTGTCAGTTTAATTGGTGATATTACGTACTTTAAATGATTATACTGTGTTATACTAAAGTACTGTACTGCAGACTGACAAATTGCGCTGTTTGCTTGAACTGAAAATTGTAAAAATGCGCACAAAATAGTTTTATATTATTATAGGCACTATAAAGACCCGCCATGAACGAATATACATATACAAGATGACAAAAAAGGTTTGGACAGGTAAAATATTTTGAAAACATTTGAGAAAAAATGTTTCATACAAAAATTGTAGAATTTCAATAAATGCATCAAGCGGTAATACCTATTTGACCTTGAGAGTAAGTATATGTAGAGGAGAGCTCTCAAAGTTAAAATTTGAAATTTTTAACGGAATAAACTTCCATTTTTTTATTCAATATACTTGTAACCGATATCAATAGAGACTTTTTAAAATACTATATTACAATATAATAAATCTTTTTTCTAAATTCAATTGGATTCAATTGAGTTCAATTAAATGTAACTGAATTCAACTGGATTGAAAAACTGTATTTTTTTTCTATTTAGAATTTTAAATTGAGAAATATGGTATTCACGAGAAAAGTTGGTATTTTTTTTAGATTGAAAAAGTATATAGAAATGTCGATCTTCATATAATTTCTATATTGAATAAAAATGTATTCGAATTGAAAAATATTTTAATGTTCACAAATGCGTATTTCTGAAAATCTGGATTTATTTCAATTCATTCACGTTTACTGCAGGAAATATTGTTTGAGATATGAGAATTGATAACAAAGTTCAAGTTATGACTATATTATCCAAAAGGTATTTGACCGACAACTAAAATCTTTTAAATATAGTTTAGCGTTATAATATTGACCAGGTTGGCAAAAAGTAATGTCTTCTCCAAACAATAAAATATTGCATTTTTTTAAATACATGTTTTTAATACTTCAAATATGCTTTAAACAATATTATTAAAAACTGATATGTTTAAAACATATTAAAAATATTGATTAAAGCATGATTTATTATTAATTTGTTTAAAACATGTTTTTTACTAATCCCGATCTTGACAATATATATATGTTCAGCACTTAAATGCTTTGTGTATATATTTTATGTTGCGTATAAAAAATGTGGTCAAAGTTTCATTCTTTTTCTCATTGCAAATTCTTAAGCATTGGATTCATCCATCAGAAAACATTATTTATTTTACTAATTAAAGAATGCTTATTACAGCATATTTGTAGCGTTATTAATACATTACATATTAACATAACTATACACAGAATTTCAGAAATACATTTTGAATGATATTTTTATTTTATTAATAAAATTTCAATTTTATTAATGAAAGTGATATATACATAATATATGTGAAACATTGAATATGAGTAATTTAAAATAACTAAGATGAAATTAAAAATTAACTTATTTGAAAATAAAGAGCTAGTTGTTCTATTTTCGGATAAAAAAGAATTTTTTAATTCATTGATTAATCAACCACAATATATACGCATATGTAGTTTTTACGGGCCAAAATTGCATTTGTACATAGTCATTTATATAATAATCAATTAAATTAAAAAACTTGCTTATAAACTATATGATAATTTAATCTAATAAATAAAAAAGAGAGCGAGAGTGATAAGCTGACAATAAAACCTATCAAAACATAAGATAATCCAGCTTAATTATTTTCAATAAAATCAATTTTTGTCATTATAATAAAAAGTTATAGTATATATAGGATAAAATTATTATAAATATATCAAGTTAACAATTTCACTTTTGTGTTACCTGTTTTTCCTCTTATTTTGCTGCTTTTTTTAGAATCCTTATAACAATGTTTTGCTGCATGTCAAGTGCTAAAGATGATGTGAGCGAATATCTCATTTATATGCGAATATTTCGATCGTATATATATATTAGCCGCGCATGCAGCACTTTATACTTTAGAACACTGTGGAACACTGCATTCTGTCATGTTGCTGATGCGCTGTAAGTATTTATAATCATTCTGTTTTTATCGTTGATGGTAAGTTTTAAGGTAAGTTTTATAATTCGTTGATTTTGGATCAGTTGCATTTCCAGTAAATGAAAATCTATGAAAAAATGATTTAAAATTTTATCTGTCCGAATGCGTGTTTTAAATAGCAAAAAATTTTATTTATTTATATTAATTAAATTATTATTTCTGAAATTCTCTGTGTATAGTTATGTTAATATATAATATATTTATTTATTTATATTAATTAGATTTAATCCAAATTTAATTGGATTCAGTTGGATTTAATTAGATCCAGTAGTTGGATGCAATGGATTAAAAAACTGCGTTTCCCCTATTCAGAATTTTTAATTGAATAGTATTCATGATGTATGGTACATACACGAAAAAGCTGATTGAGTCGGTATAGAAATGCGCTTCATGCAATTTCTACAAATTATAAATAAATAAAAATGCATTCAGGATTAAAATGGATTCATTTTAACATTCGTGAATTCGTATTTTTGAAAATCTGAATCCATCATATATACTTACTAAAGATTTGAAAGTCTGATTGGATAGATCTAAGAAACTATACATCAATAACAGTGAGCGTTCATTCAACTATTGTCTGTTGAACGCGTTTATTAAAGTCTGCTGAATGTAACAATTCGAACATGAAGTATATTCGAATTTTTTTATATATGCAATATTAGAGAGAAGCCTGAGAGCGGCCATGCCCGGGATTTAGCTACAACTTTATTTTGAAGCGCCTCTATGTCCACAAAACGTGGACATTGAACTATGTAGCCAATGTCCACGATCGTGTTGGTAATGTCCACGATTTTTGGTTCGAATCTTCCCTATATCTATGATTTTTTTGGTTCGAATCTTCCCTATCATCTCTCTCTCTCTCTCTCGGCATTTGAAATATAAAAACAAATACAAAAATGTTAGGATTTCAACAAAATGCATAGTGTTGATTTTTTTTATAAATATAAATTTAAAATAAAAAAATTAATTATTGCTCTATAAATATATATCCTTTAAAGTTATTAATTATATTAATTATTAAATCTTTATTAATTCTTTAAGTGTTTTAATGTTTTTGCCGAAAAATAATTAGTTTCTTTTTAAATATAAATACAGTACTTTTAAAAGATTTAATAGGTTTATTAGAATATTAGCGAGTTTTGAATAAATATGTAGATCAGTAGTATATAACTAGGTAGTTATATTTAACTTGTAGCGGAACCAGCTTATTCACCACAGTTTTGACATTTGATGATGGCCAAGCCGAAGATGAAGAAAATAGCTTGCCGCACATGGACGGTTTCCAGAGTAAACTTCCAGCAGGAATATTTTCTCACGGATTACTGCAAGTTAAGGAGGTTCACAGTCTACTTACACAGGTAGAGTAAGAGAAAGAGAATCCTAAAAAAGAAGATGCGTAAATTATCGATCTTTTTACATTTCATTTCTGTTTATTAATAAAAAATTTTGTTTTATTACTTCTGTAGTATGGGAACTTAGCGAAGAAGAGAAGCAAATAATTATCCTATCGGAAGACTTTCA